CAAAATCCACCCTGAGTCTGTTAAGGGCCCAGCATTTCAGGAAATGCCTTTTATCCAGGAGGCAAGCCCAGTCAGCCTGAGAAAATTACAAAAACTAGCCTTGGGACTGCAGATCCGCACTGAGCAACGGATAGAGATAGCTTTCAGTGTTTTTGGCAACCAAGACAGGGAAGAGGAAGAGCAAAAAGCCACCAGATGGAAACAAAAGGCATAATTACTTGATAGCCGCAGCTTTAAATCCTATGCTAGTCCTGTTGACAAGAAGGACACCTAAAGGAGTGCCTACAACTAACTCAGGACGGACTACCCCCAGGACCATGCCCCATGTGCACCAGGAAAGGCCTTTGGAAAAGTGAGTGTCCTAGGCTTCTAAGGGAACTTAGTGCCTCAGACCAATGATGTTTGAAACACCTGAGAATTGATGGTGCCTGAGGCCTCCTACTGCCCCCACCAACCATCTGAAACCATCACACCAGAGGAGTCTCCTGTGACTGATGTGACAGGTAAGCCCATTCATTTTTATTAGACACAGGGACTGCTTACTCTGCTCTGACTCACTCACCAGGGCCTCTTTCTTCCAAAACCCATTGGATCACTGGGGTGAATGGGCATCCATTTCATTCAACCCCTCGGCTCCTGCCTCAGGAATCTCACTTTTAGTCATACTTTTCTTGTAGTCCTAGGGTGCTCTATTCCCTTATTAGTTAGGGAGGGACAGCTTGTCTAGTCTAGAAATGACCACAGAAGATAATAAACTTTCATTGTTACTCCTGATGGCCAACCTAACTTCTCACCCTGAACCAAAAATTAATAATATTCTAGAACAAGCTTGTCAAACTCAAAGGCTAACGCGGGCCAAATAAACAAGGTTTAAGTTTACGTGGGCCGCAAAAAACCAAAAGCTTCAATTTTCATAGAAACGTAGGTTTATTTCAATAGAGACATGCTGAATACAAAGGGCTAAAATAAACAAGTAATCGTTAACATAAAATAATAGAACATTTTAATAAAAATTAATATTTTTTCTTGAACATCAACTTACCAGACACTGAATAACTGCACAAATTAATAAGCATAACTCAAATAAGCCTATTTTCCTTGTTTTCCGAAAGCGAAATATTTCCTGTTGCCCACACCAAACAAGTCAGTACAAGACTGATGTGGCAATTGGCTGCTAAAATATTTGCCACTAGTATTAGTGGAGAGAAATGGTGCGCCTGCGTGTAAGGCACGTAAGGAAAATGAATGCAACACGATTATAGTAATTAGCAAACATTGTAGTTCGTTATTAATAATTATGTATAACAGGATATTGTAAAAATGAAGTTACGAAATTTTTATTAAAACGTTTCTTACAGACCATTATATTGGCCGGGCTGCAAAAATATTCATTGTGGGCCTCATGTGGCCCGCAGGCCATGAGTTTGACATGCTTGTTCTAGATTCTGTCCTCTTCTAAGTCAATCCTGAGATATGGAAAACTGGAATACCGGGCAGGGCAATAGGAGCAAAACCAGGGGCACCCTACCCTAAAAAAAAGACAGCACCCTTTAAGACCTAAGGCCATAAAAGGGATTGACCCTCTCATTAAATATACACTGAGTGGCCAGATTATTATGACCACCCCATCAGTACAATGAAGTGAATTAGTTATGCAAATAATAATAATAATAATAATAATAAAACCTTGAGAGTATTTGCTTAGGAAGTTTTCAATATTCAGTATTTTTGGAAGTGCCAATGAAGTACTGATGGGGTGGTCATAATAATCTGGCCACTCAGTGTATATATAAAGCATGGGCTTCTCAGGCCCTGCCAGTCCCCAAGCAATACCCCTCTTCTCCTAGAACAAAAGCCAAATGGCAAATACCAGTTTGCGAAAGACCTAAGGGCTGTAAGTAAGATTGTAATTCCGGTACATCCTATAGTTCCAAACCCATACACTATCTTGAATCCCAGGAGAAGCCAAATATTTTACTGTATTGAATTTAAAGGATGCCTTTTTCTGCATCCCCCTTCATCCTGACTCCCAGTACTTGTTCACATTTGAACGGACTAACCCCCAAACTAGGGAGACTTGCCAATATTCACGGACTGTACTCCCTCAGGGCTTTAGGGACAGTCCCTATTTGTTTGGAAATTCTTAAGCCAAGAAATTAAGAGAACTCCAGTTGACCAACAGGACCCTCCCACAATATGGTGATGATACTAAGTTCTAGTACTAACGCAGAAAACTCAGGTAAAAATTCCATCCTGGTATTTACTTCCTCGTAAATAGAGGATATAAAGTATCTCCCCAAAAGGCCCAAATAACCTTCCCGGGGTCCAATATCTGGGGTACCTACTTACCTCAGAAGCCCAGACCCTGTCACCTCAAAGGAAACAAGCCATACTGGCTCTCAGCATCCCAAAAAGTAACCAACAGCTTGGAGAATTTTTAGGAATCGCTGGCTTCTGCCACCTGTGGATCCCAGGTTTGGGGCTAAATGCTAACCTTCTATATAAGGCTTTTAAAAGAAGACGACAAAGGGCCAGTAGACTGGACCTCTGAATGCCAACGTGCCCTTAGAAATTAAAAGTGAAACCGAGCAGTGGATCTGTTTAGGCATGCCAAATTAAGAAAAACAGATTACTGTGCTCACTTCGGCAGCACATATTCTAAGATTCGAACAATACAGAGAAGATTAGGATGGCCCCTGCGCAAGGATGACACGCAAATTTGTGAAGCATTTTATATTCAAAACAAAAAGGAAAGAAAAATGGGTTACTTTGAATATAGCAGAAAGACAGGAAATAACATGTGGAGTCCCCACCCAAAATTTCAACGCTGGATGTTGCTATCGTAGCCGGCTGGCCACATTGTTAACCAGCTGTAGCTGCCACTGCTCTCCTAGTGGGAGAGGTCCATAAACTTACCTAGGGCCGGCACTGAAAGCCCCCCATCAAGTAAATAAAGGGTTATCAATGGCTCCCCGGAGGAAGGCTTAAATAAATAGCAGGCTCTCCTTGACTCTCCTGAATTAACCCGAAAGCCTTGCCAAACTCTCAATCCTACTACCCTCCTAGTAATACACCAGGTCACACACCAATGCATAGAAACTATTGAACAAGTCCAGCAGGCCTGACCTAAAAGATGAACCTTTACCTAAACCTGAAGCAGAATAGTTTACATATGGCAATCATTTGACACGAAATGGGGTCAAAAAGGCAGGTATGCCATTGTCAGTCTTCAAGAAACAGTAAAGGCAAAAGCCTGCCCCCTACGACTTCGGCCCAAAAAGCTGAACTCACAGCACTCACTAAGGCAGTGGCCCTTTAAATACAGTTCCTCATGTGGTGACCCAACCATAACATTATTTCCGTTGCTACTTCATAACTGTAATGTTGCTACTGTTATGAATCGTAATGTAAATATCTGATATGCAGGATGGTCTTAGGCGACCCCTGTGAAAGGGTCGTTCAACCGCCAAAGGGGTCTCGACCCACAGGTTGAGAACCACTGCACTAAGGCCTTACAACTAGGGGAAAACATCTGAGTTAATATCTACACTGACTCAAAGTATGGGTTTCTCATATTACATGCCCATGCTGCTATTTGGAAAGAAAGAACATCTTGAACAGCTAAAAATTCCCCCATAAATCATCATATAGGACAGTGATGGCGAACGTATGACACGCGTGTCAGAGGTGACATGCGAACTCATTTTTTTGGTTGATTTTTCTTTGTTAAATGGCATTTAAATATATAAAATAAATATCAAAAAATAAATCTTTGTTTTACTATGGTTGCAAATATCAAAAAATTTCTAGCCCTGACCGGTTTGGCTCAGTGGATAGAGCATTGGCCTGCGGACTCAAGGGTCCCAGGTTCGATTCCCGTCAAGGGCATGTGCCTTGGTTGCGGGCACATCCCCAGTGGGGGGTGTGCGGGAGGCAGCTGATAGATGTTTCTCTCTCATCGATGTTTCTAACTCTCTACCCCTCTACCTTCCTCTCTGTAAAAAATCAATAAAATATATATATTAAAAAATTTCTATATGTGACATGGAACCAGAGTTAAATTATGGTTTTTCAAAATGCTGACACACCGAGCTCAAAAGGTTCGCCATCACTGATATAGGAATTTAGAACTCCTGGCAACTGTAACACTTCCCCAAGAAATAGCAACGATACACTGCCAGGGCCACCAAAAGGGAACACAGATATAATCAAAGGCATTACATTGGTAGATCAGACAGCTAATATAACAACATGGTCTTCCTCAATCACCCTAAAGGCAGCTCTGCCCCCTGACCTCCCTCGGCCACCAGAAGGCCCCTTCTACATCAAGAGGAAATCTCTTGGGCCTTAAAGAATGGATTCTCTAGAGACCGGCAGGCTGGATACCAAGGGATAATAAACATTTGTTACCTCAAACCGTAAAATGCTCCATGATGGCACTCACATAAGGAGAGGTGTTCTTGCTATCCTTGTCTCCCAGCTGGTTATGATATGAGAGCGTTACAAAACGGTACAGGAAGTGACCCAAGGATGTACTTTGCTCCAAAATAAACTCGAATTGCCTTCCTCCTCCTCCCCTCTTGGCACCAATACAAACCAGGGTATATACCCTGGGAAAGGGTGGCGAGTCGATTGCACTCAGATGCCTCCTAAAGCTAGATGTAAATATTTGCTAGCATTTGTCAACACTTTTATTGGGTGGATTAAAGCCTTTCTACCAGAACACAAAAAGCTACTAAAATAGCCAAGTACTTACTTAGAAAAATCTTACCTAGGTTTGGACTACCAAGAAGCTTTCAGAGTGACAATGGACCCTCTTTAGTAGCCCAAATTACATAACAGTGTAGGAATCAACGATCGCTTATACTCATCATGGAGACCTCAATCCTCAAATAAGGTAGAAAAAAGCTAATCAAACCCTAAAAAGGACTCTAGCCAAGCTATGCCAAGAAACCGTGAAGTCCTAAAGAAAAATGGCAAGCTGGCCCTTTTGCACTCACCTGTGGCAGAGGCCTTTCTCAGGTCTTCCAGCTGGTGTCTTACACCATTAATCTAGGACAGATACGTTAAACCAGGGGACAAGGTCTAGTTAAAAACCTGGAGGGACGACTGTCCTAAGTCCCAGCTACAGCCCAGATGGAAGGGCTCACATCAAGTCCGACTGAGCACCCCAACTGCAGCAAATCTCCCAGGGTCATAACCAGTTCCGTTCACAGATCTCAAATTCAACATGCTTCCGGCGAGTCCCCACAGAAACCACAACCTGAGACCTACTCTTGTGTTTTTTTTGTGTGTGTTTTGTGTGTGTGTGTGTGTGTGTGTGTGTGTGTGTGTGTGTGTGTGTGTGTGTGTGAGACCTACTCTTATGAACCCATCGGGGACCTCAAACTCCTTTTCAAGAAACAAGAACCTGTTACAAATAAGTCATGTAATGGCTGGGCCTTAGTGTAATTGTCTTCCTCATATTTCTGACACTCCTTCTCCCAGCCTGTCGGTCTGCCCAGCCTCCATCCCCTAGGAAGAGGACTTGGGACTTTATTTGATAAGGATTAAATCCAAACAAGGAACTGTCCTTGTTAGATTTAATCCTTATCAAATAAAGTCCCAAGTCCTCCACTCCACTCAAATTATTCACATTTTAACCAACAATATTTATCCTTCTTGTTTTCATATCCCTACCATACTCAAGACCCCTATGAAAAGAATGGAAGAGTAAATATACTACTAAACGCTTTCCAGTATCGTTGCTGATGGAAATGAACTTTCTGATTGCTGGATCTGCCATAAACAGCCGACCACAGGAGCCCTCCCTCCTCAGTTTTCAATCTACAGCCCTCAACTTAAATCTAACTCTACTAGCAGGGTTCCAAAATAATTTTGAAAAAGCTAGTACTTTTTCAGTAAACTTCCTTTCCGTTTCTAGCGACTTTCCTTGCACCAACCTCATCCTATTTGTTAATCAGACTAATAACTGGTCAGTTTTGAGGCTCTTATGCAAGACCCTTACAGAACTCTGCTGTCATTATATTATATCCAACAAATATACCAATAAACTTGAACAAAATAATTCTGTCCTATCTCTGATATATCCAAAGACTTCTTCTAACAATGTTTCCTGTACCCCCAATCTGACACACTGGTGTCCACTAAGCTACAGGGTCCAATCAGATGTCTAGGAAACTAATTCTCAAAATAACCCCCAAGAACATTTGCAGTTATTGACAAGGAGAAACTAATGTTAAATGGAAACTTGTTTACCAAGTCCCCACAGCACATAAAGCCCCAACAGGGCCAAGGGACCTCCTTGTAAAAGGAGAATCCCCTTACCCCTGACTTTAGGGAAGACACCTACTGAGGTCCAAGTTTTCTTTCTTTAAAAAATATATATATATTTGAAGGAGGAATGCACGAGGCCAAGGAGGTAAGGGATTACAAATTTACTAGAGGCCCTGTGTATGAAATTTGTGCACGGGGGTGGGGGAGTGGGGAGTCTCTCAGCCCGGTCTGCATCCTCTCGCAATCCAGGAACCCTCGGGGGATGTCAGGCCTAAACCAGCAGTCAGACATCCCTCTCACAATCCAGGACACTGCATATACCAGTGACCATACTTTTCATACAGGTGAAAGGCATCTTGGTGTTGTATGGGCAGCTACATTTTTGCCCTGATTACAAAAAGTAGTACATTAAAAAAAAAGGACACTTATGTAATACCCTTTGTAATACTTTAAGCGAAAAATAAAAAAATATTAAAAAAAAAAAAAAAAGTAGTACATAACATGATCCTTCTGAGGCAGTAGTACCATTTCCCCCACCTTATGGGTGGAAAAACTGAAGCAGAGAGAAGTTAAGTAATTGGTTTTGTCACACAGTTTTAAGTGTCAGAATCAGGGCTGACCACAAAATGTGCATGCCAGAGTCCATGCATGTCATTGTTGCATCATTCTGTTTTTTTCAGTGTTAGGGTAGCCTTGCAGGTTTTAATTTTTAAATCTAAGAAATTGTTCCCAATATATAGGGTAGGGTCCCTAGGCCTGGCCATCTGTGGGGTGACCAGTGGGCAGGGCAATCGGGGGGCCCCTGTTGGCACCCACCTTGGCTGGTGTCCTGGTGCAGCCTGCTGGCCAGCCCCACCCCCCTGATCACCACCACCAGTCACCTCCCTCTCAGGGGGCAGACGCTCAATGCAGGAGCTTCCCTGGTTGAGCGTCTGCCCCCTGGTGGTCAGTGCATGTCATAGCGACCAGTCGTTCCACCGTTCAGTCGATTTGCCTATTAGGGTTTTATTATATAGGATTAGGTCATCTGGATACCAAATGGGCTGAGCCCCAAAATAGTGCCAGCCCCCAAAGACAGGGAGTCAGAGGTTTTTAAAGGAATCTAGGCAGGTATTTTTCTGGGCAGAGAATTCTCTGTTCAGGTCTGGATTCTGGGAAACTCTGGAGGGGAGAGATAATGATCTTAGCAAGTGGAATGTGTTCTAAGCAAGTGGAATGTCCATTGTGAAATGGCCTAAAGGTTAGTTCCCATGGGAGGGGGTATTGGTTCAATTATTTGATCAAACCTAACAATATTTTTATTGATTTCAAAGAGGAAGGGAGAGATAAAAACATCAGTGATGAGACAGATCATTGATGGGCTGCCACCTGCATGCCCCACACTGGGGATTGAGCCCGCAACCCTGGCATGTGCCCTGACTGGGAATTGAACTGTGTCCTCCTGGTTCGTAGGTCGATACTCAACCACTGAGTCATGCTGGCCGGGCTGCAGGTAGTAACTCTTGTTCTGCCACTACTGTGAGTTTCTTAGGCAACATGTCTTTCCCCTCCCCACTCCCCCCCCCCCCAAGATGTGAAACACCCTGGTTGTTGCACAGTAATTATGGTTTTTCCTATTTTGTCAGCCTGAAGAGCAACCATCCTCTATGAGTTAAGCAAGACATCATTAAGGAAGAAGACTTAGGGCTACAGGGCCTCAACAAAGGATTTACAGCAACTTTGGTATGTGATGGAGATTTCAACATGGTTTATTTTGGCTTCTACTACATCAAAAACATTGTTCCTATCTATAAGGATCCAACCTTGGAGTTTTTGAGAAAATTTGGAATTGGTCTTCTAGTGGGCACAATAGCCTCAATCATTAACATCCCATTTGATGTTGCCAAAAGTAGAATTCAAGGGCTTTAGCCAGTTAATAGAGAGATCAATACAGAGCCTGTTTTAAAAACAATGGCAGGAGTCTATCAGGAAGAAAAGGATTTTAGCTTTGTACAAAGGCCTGCTTCCCAGGATTATGAGACTTTGACCAGGTGGTGTAGTGATGCTGCTGGTTTATGAATGCAACTATTCATAGCTTCAGGAGAACTTGTGATTGCCTATGAAGTATATTTACCCCTTGAGATAATGCACATTTGCTCTACAGTACCTTGAGACTATTAATCAGCTAAGCTGATGCAATTATAAATTATACAATCTACACTAATAAAAGACAAAGATGCCAATTGACCGTACCTTCGCTATGCCCTAAGCCATGCCCACCAGCCAATTAGAGCGACTATATGCAAATTAACCCAACCAAGATGGCGGCCAGCAGCCATGGAGCTGGAGCAAGCAGGAGGCTTGGTTGCCCCGGCAATGGAGGAAGCCAAGCTTCCTGCCAGCCCTGGCCGGCTGTGG